TTTATTGTCATGTTTCTTTAAGAGCAGGGCCTTGGTTATATATAATTCTAACTTCATTTTATTAGAGGTGTTTTATCCAAGTACAACAAGAGGTATTAACAACAGAGCAAACCCCACCTTGCTTAGCTAGAATGTTTTCAAGAGCATCTCTTGTCCAGTGATGCTGTGGTGGGCATCCTGATCCCTGTCCAAGGGAAAGTGTGCTTAAGCATCTGTAGTTTCCTGAGGTTTCTTATGTGAAAAATGTAAGCATTTCAAAACATTGAGCAACCATTATCAATGATGTCTTTATAACATCGAGCTATGCAAAACAAAGATTTATCATAGCAAAAATTTTTATAATAACAAACAAAATGTTAAGTTCAGTTTAAAGAACAGATCTGAACCAACAGGCAATACCTGTGGACAGTTTACCGAAGATAATAAATAACCATGAGGTGTTAGTGGGCACTGTGTTTAATCGTTTGGCTTCTGCTAAATTTGGTACCTTTATTGGGGCTGACATCACCAGGCGTTAAATATCCAAGAGTTAATACCTTTAAATTTAGTCACACATGGATTAGTTAAGAGTACCCGAAGTTTTGTGTTTTAGAGTGTCAGAGTCTTCTCCGTGAATTTCTCTGAAGATGAAACATCTTTGTAGAAACATTTTTGTAAAAGCATCAGAGTAGAACAGTAATTGTCTGTAAAGGACAAAAGACTTAAAAATGGCCATGGTTGGAGTCCGTACACATACATCTTAAGATCCCTCTTCTGTGAACCTGCGGTATGCAGAGACTTTCTGTAACTTACACGTTTCCGATTTTGTCCTATCTTTTCTCTCCTTATTTTGAAACAATCATTTTATTCTGGGATAAAATTATTTTTCTTTCTTTTTCTCTACCAATAAAACCCATGTCTTTTATGTCCTTATCATTTATTTTCCATTCTTTCAACAAAAGTGTATCTCTGTTTCCCATACCTTTTTCTACCAAAAAATATACAACCTATTTAAATATAATTAAAGGTTTAGCATCATTTATTTGACAGTGTTTCCCGTGTGATTTAACATACAAAATCGGCCTAATTATTTTAATTTCCTCCTTTTTTAAAGAGGTGTTTCAGGGATCCATGTGAAAAACTCCCAAAGTTCTTAAAAATCTCAAAGGTCGAGAAAATGACTCCTTAAATTTTGAATCTTGGAAAGTTTGCCAAACATATCAAAAGTTTTAAAACATTCGTCTATATAAAATCATAGGTAACAATACTTAAAAGTTATTCATTTAACCAAAGTGACAGATTTTTCAGGCAAATACAGAACGTCAAGTAGTTGTTACAATTTTAGCTTTTCCAATATTAAGAAGATTGATAATTGATAAACACCTGATGATAAAGAGTATACCTTTGCTTTCTCTATAATCTGTTATTAAAAGCATACCAGTAATACAGGAGACATAACATTAAGTTTGACTGTAAGTAATCCATTGATACTAAAGCTTAATTTCTTAAAAGAACCTTTATAATAATTTAATTTCAGCCTGCTTCATACATAAGAGGCAAAATTATTCTTTTTCCCTATTTTTTATTCTGAATTTTAACCCTTATAAACCTTAATTTTAGTGACAACCAAAAGTAAAATTTGTGAACCATTTTATAACCTCTAGAAATTATAGGCTCTTTGGCAAGTATATTTTATAATTTTTAGAAACATGTATTTCCTTAATATAGCATAAGACATTTTTATTAACAGACCCACATGTCTTTAGTTTCTCTATTAAAAATCCAAAAGCAGGTATAAGTCATGAACTTATTTCTGTGAACCCAGATAAAACCCAAAAAACTTAAGTCAGTTTTCATATTAAATAATGTCCTATACCATGTGGTCCTAAAAAGCATGTTATATTTCTTAATTTATATAAGGGCTTAATTTCTTTAAGTCAGAGCTCTTTTTATATATAAAAAAACAATTTAAATAATTTTCTCTGAAGGTAGACAAACATACACACATATAGAGAGACAAAAGCAGAGACCTGACGTTTCATATTAAAATTTCTTTAACCACGAGACAAGTATGGGGAAAAAAACATTAATTTCTAGTCATTAATCAGATCTAGTGGCCGGCTCTAAATCAAGGCAAAGCAAGCTTCAGGTGTAACCAAGAGACCTCAAAGCCTAAGACAGCCAAAAGGAGAAATCCTCCAACCAAATGAACCTTACACTCATACTGGGAAAGTTCTTTGGGGTCCATGGTCCAAATCTGGAGAATGTACCCCAAAGGGCTGCATTCGGTGATTGAATTTGAGTTTCCCGTAGCTGGCACATTTACGTGTAAGACAAGGCAAATGCAAACATACACACGAAGAACAAAATCCAGCTTCTGCAGGGCAGAAACCAAAGGGTGGTAGACACTGATCCCATAACCTCCAGCCCACCAAAGACACTGTCGGTGATCCACGGTTCCCTGGCAACCAGACAGCCAGACCAGAGGTCATCGGCGGAGGGTGTCTTGGATTGCCCCACAGACGTTTCCAACGCTTCAGACCTAGGTCAGGCCCTGAATCCCAGGTCCCGGAGACAGTTCCTGCCAGACCAACCTGTGCACACCAGAAATGAAACTATCCTCCGACAACCTTGTACCCCAAAACGAAAGTGGAACACTAAAGTGACCACAGGGCTGACCTACCTGCCTCCCATCCGAAGTGCTGAACGAAACGGGTTCAGGTGGTCGCCCTGCTTTGCTGCGGACGTGGGACAGGCAGCCGTTCCAGTGCTCATACCAAGCTGGCGTCTCCCCCAACCAGTGGAGACACAGGCGAGTGAGCTCCGATGAGCCACTGCCGACAGCTTCACCCAGCGTTCACACCAGGCCGAGAGGGTGTCCCTTTAGGAGAGTCCCACCTGAGTCGCCAGATTTGTTAGCAAACTCAGGAATGGCTGCTTGGGGTGTTTTATTTAAGGAATAGATGTGGTCGTCATTAGGTGGTTTTATTTACTTGCAGCAAGTAAAGGAGAAAGGGTTCACATCCAAAGCTCCATCTCCCCGAAGAGAGGCTTAGCCGTTGCTTACATACACTGGTTAGTTGCATGTAGATTTCCTCTTTGCATCAGGTCGGGTTCAGGGTCAAGCTTACTTGGTTAGTTAACATGTTGATTTCTTCGTGTCAAGTTGGGTTCCTGGTCAAGCTCATGCAGCTGCATCTGCAAACTACTGTGCTAGTTTTTAACATTTAGCAAGGATGGCATTTAATAAGAACTGCCCAGACCTTGAGAGCCTTGCCCTACTCACATTTCCTGTGCTTTATCTGGTTCCATGGCCTTTACATAGACTTTGTTGCCTACTCTGTATTAGGAAAATATTGGAAGTGAGGATCAATGGTAAATAAAACACACAGTTCTTGCTGTCAGAATTTAGAGTCAAGTGAGTTTGTCTTAGGAAAATACTTCTGTGGATTTAAAATATAAAATCTGCCTTATAATGACCTTATTTATAGCAAGGTTTCACCAGGGACCTGAAGTCTCCAGGCTTGAATCTGCATGTGATATGAACAGTATACTACAGACGGGTTCAGTGGGAAGGTCTTGCATTCGTCTGCATCAGTGCACAAAGAAACAAATAAATGTCACCCAATGGCACTGTGTATGACGTTTTACCTTTTGGGTTTACATTTGAAGTTATTCATTCTGTAAAGATTTTTTTTTTTAGCACCTGTTATCTGCCAGACATTGGGATTATAATTTTAGTTTTGATAGAATCCCTGCACAAGAGAGCTTTTCCTCTATTGAAACCATAACCATTGCCTGCGAGGTAGTTTTTAATGGCACCCACATTTTACGGATGTGGAAACTCAGGCTTGTCAAAGACAGGACTTGCCGAAGGCCACGTGGTTGCTGTGTGGAACTAGGGATCAGAGTCAAGTCTTTTGACTCCAAAGCTTTTTTCCATTTCCTGCTTGTGAAACATGTCGAATTGCTAGAGTGAGTTGTTTTCCCATTTACTTAAAATTTTTCTTTGATTTTTTTTAAAAAGAGTTTGTTTATAAAATATTGTTGGTTAGAACAAAGTATAAGCAATTAAGTTTTAAATCTTAAATGGAAAATGTTCAATGACTCATGAAACAGCTCATTTTCTCATCAACTTCATCAAGGTATAATTTCCATATAATAATTTGCCCCTGTTTATAGTGTATAATCTGATGAGTTTTGACAGATGTATACACGTAAGAAACCACCACCAGACTTGACAGAGAACATTTCAGTCCCGTCCGGAAATTTTCTCTTGCTGATTTGCAGTCAACCTCTTCCCCCACCTTGGCTCCCGAGCAACCCCCTGATATGTTTCCTGTCGCTGTAGATGAGTCTGTATTTTCTAGAATTTCGTTTAAAGGGAAGCACACTCCATGCGTTCTTGGATTTATCTGCTTTCACTTAGTGTAATAGTTTCTGAGATTTATTCATGTTGTCGTGTGTATTAATAGTTTGTTCCTTTTTATTGTCTGTTGTGTGAATCTACCACATATTGTTTGTTTATTCAGTTGTTGTTGGACATTGGGCTTTGTTTCTGGTTTAGGGCTATTATAAAAAAAGCTGCTATGACCATTCCTGTATAGGTTTTTGTTTTCATTTCTGTTGGGGTCCAGTTGCTGAGTCCCATGGTGCTTCTTTGTTTGGTCTCATAAGAAACTGCTAAACAATTTTCCAAAGTGATTCTACCATTTGTGTTGGTTTCCAGGGCTGCTGGAAACTTGGTGTCTTCAAACAACCGAAATTGATTCTCCCACAGTTCTGGAGCCGGAAAGCAAGGTTTTGATGGGGTCACACTCTCTCCGATGGCTCTAGCTGAGAATCCTTCCTGCCTCCTCCAGCTTCTGGTGACTCCTGGCATTTCTTGGTTCGGGCAGCAGAACTGCGGTCTCTGAATCTGCCACCTTCTCGGCGTTTCTGTGTCTCAGATCTCTCTTGCCTTTCTGTTATAAGGACACCAATCTTTACATTTACGGCCTACCTAAAATCCAGGATGATCTTAATCTCAAGATTCCCAAGGTCCTTCATTTAATTAGATCTGCAAAGGCCCTTTCCCCAAATAAGATCACATTTGCAGGCACCAGGGGTTGAGACTTGGTCATATTTTGGGGGATGCTATTCAAACCCACTACATTATTGCATTTCCATCAGCCGTGTATGAAAGTTCCAGTTGCTCCAAATCCTTAACCAGTACTTGGTATTGTCAGTGTTCTAAATTTCAGCCATTCTAGTGGGTGTGTAGTGGTATCTCATTGTGGTTTTAATTTGCATTTCATTGATGACTACTGAGGTCGAGTATCTCTTTTTAAAAGCTTTTTTGAGGTATAATTTTGAGGTAAATGCTATAAAACTCACCTGTTTTAAGCATACAGTGCAATGATTTGTAGTATATTTACGGAGTTGGGCAGCAACCACCACAATTTTATTTTAGAATATATCCATCATCTCCAAAAGAAACCTTGTGTTCATGCTCCATTCCCGCCCTCCCATCCCTAGGCAACCACTAATCTATTCTTTGTTCTCAAGATTTGCCTTTTCTGGAGATTTCATGTGAATGAATCACAGTACGGTGGGCTTTGGTGCTTGGCTTCCTTCACCCAGCATAATGTTTTTGATTTTCATCCACGTCGTAGCATATATCAATACTTTGTTCCTTTTTACTACTGAATAATATAGTATTCTCATGTCTGAATATACCACATTTTGTTTAATCCATTCAACAGTTGATGGATATTTGGGTTGTTTCCACTTTGTGGCTATTATGAAAAATGCTGCTGCGAATATTCGCATTCTGTTTTTATATGGACAGATGTTTTCATTTCTTTAGGGTAGATACCTAGGAATGTAATTGCTGGTTCACGTGGTAAATCCATGCTTAACATTTTAAGAAACTGCTATACTGTTTTTTACGGGCTGAATGTTTTTGCCCCCACCGGATTTTAATGTTGAAATCCTAACCCCCAAGGTGTTGGCATTAGGGGTGGGGCCTTTGGGAAGTGATTCGGTGATTAGGGATTAGTGTCCTTATAAAAGTGACCAGAGAGAGCTCCCTCGCCCTTTCTGCCATGTGAGATAGAACAAGAATTTGGGAGTCTGCAACCAGGGAGAGAGAGGGCCCTCCCCAGAACAGGACCGTGCGGGGCTCACACCTTGAACTCCAGCCTCCAGAACTGTAAGCAACACATTTGTGCCATTTATAAGACACCCAATCTGCGGTGTCTTGTTTTATCGGCTCGACGGGACTAAGACATTGTTTTCTGGTATGGAGGTACCGTTTTTAAATTCCCACCAGCAATGTTTGAGGGATATTTTGATTGCCTTCTCTGGATAGAAGGGTTAGTTTAACTCATTAGCTAACCCAGTGAATAACAGTGAGTTCTTGTCACTTTCTGTTATTTCCGGGTCTGTTTCTTAACCATGTTAAGTGTTGGTTTTGAAAACGGAATTTGCCATTTGAAAAAAAGTCTTGAGACACCTTTTGAAACACATTTAACACTCAGACACTTGAACAACCATTGGCTTCTTTGAAGACAGCATTGGCATCTAATTCATCCTTTCATCTCTCCAGTGTGCCTAGCCGAGGGTCTTGCAAGCAAGCGACATTAATAAGTCTCTGTTGAAGAACGATTGAGTGGTAGCAAGCCTCCAGCCTCTGATACACGTTACGCTTGACGATGTTCGCACAGGCTCCCTGGCTGCTGATTGGACTTATCATGGCTGAGGTTAGCAGTGCAGGTTTGGGCAGACTGTGTGCTTCAAGAAAGTAGAGACCATGTCTGTTTTGTTCTGTTACTTCACCATTCTGTCCCTGGCACTTACCATTCTGCCAAGTCCATAGTGAATATTCCACAAATAGTTATCAAATAAATGAATGAATTTCCAAGAGCATCACCTGTTATTGGTCGTTAGGTTTTCTGTTAGTGAGAGATGGAACTGGAACCTGAAGAGAATAAAGGAAAATGGTTAAATGCTTTATGGATTATAAATTGTTTAGTGTACCATAGGAATGGGTATTAATTTCGAGAAACAAGACACTTCAGCGCATACTTTTGCAACTACCAACAATTGTTTTCTGGTGTTCTCTTCCAAATTTAAAATAAAATGCTAGTTTACCCTCCATGTTTTTAGATTTTGTGATTGTTAATTATGGTAGATTCTTAAAGTGTGACTTTGTAACTTCTAGAAGAACAGGACTTTGGAGTTGAGATGATATCTTGGAACCTTACAAAGGCACAGTTTGGAGAAGGTGAATTAGAGTTCTGCTAACATCATTCACTTCAACCTTCTGTTATATGAAATGATTTTGTCTCATTTCACAAAATTGTCTCACTGGCCGGGGCATGTTTGAAAGCTGATCTTTGCATGCCTGCTCTAGGCTTGCATTTTTGTTTATGCTACAAGCATCTGCCCTGTTGCCATGCTAATCATTTATTTTGCTCTGTAGTTCTTGAAATGACCGGCTCGCAAAGAGACCATGCCTTCCTTTATGTAAAAGAACTGCCATATGGATAAGCGGAAGCTGGGACCTTTACAGCTGGTAAAAACCAAGAAAGCAGTTTGAAGGACCCAATTATGTTGCCTCTGGTCTGAGGACGAGATTTGCTGCCAGCGCATGACTGTTTTCCTAACTGTTTGTGATCAGAAAATTCAGGACTCTGATTTCTGCATTAGCCCTAAGTCTGCCCTTTGGCATCTTCATTTAGTGACTGGATCATTCAAGGCTGAGCCTCAAGGGCCCGCATTTCTCCAATAATGACATAAAGTGGGCTGATGTGGCAGCCTTAACTCACTCCGCTGAATTGGGCATGATTCAAGTCTCAAGGCTGTCCTATATATGGATTTTCTATTTCTATGCACAGCATCCATTATCTCACTGTTTTCCACTTTGCCATATTTCGAAAACAGAGATGGAAAATTTTGCTGATGAATTTTTTTCCCCCCCGTCAGCATGAACATTCTGCTTTTTTTTTTTTTTTGCTTGAGAACAGCACCGGGCAAACGAATGCAAACATTGCCGCTTATGTGGACTCTAGCCTGTTGTCAAGTCAATCTTGTTATTTAGGTAAATAGTGTGCAACTTTTCGCCGAATCAGCAGCCAATATGCTGCGAGCGATTTTTGTTTTAGTCACAGTATTGGCTGGTAACACTATTAATGAGACAATAATTGGGCAGTCACAGTCATTGTTCTCATAAAACACGATCTTGGTATTGGAACCCGTCGGGCAGAGGAGTTGCATATGCAGACTGAGAGGCAGAAAAGGATGAGTGGCCGGGGTGCCCGGCTTTTAAATTCATCAGTCCCCTGCTGCTTAAATTGCCCCAGCTGTTAATGCTGGAGCCATTACAGTAATGGACTCAGCAAATGAAGGAGAACGGAGACACGCACTCTTTATTACCAGAGGGGCAATTTTCTCTTCATCTGTAATAGCAGCCGTGCCTCATATTGATCAGACCATCAAGATACTAATCCTCTGTAAAATTACTTGTTATAACTGAAAATGTGTTAATCCAAATCAGTCTGTGTCCTGACTGTCTACTTACTATTGAGGACAGACTATTAGATGGTTTATTTTTCATGATTTAAAGCCTTTGCCCTGAAAATGGGTGGCGTTTCCCTTGCAACACTGAGTGCTTAATCTTAGCTATAGCCCAGGGTTGTCTTTTTGTTTTAAACAGAACATCACCCACTTAATTAAGGAGCGAGTGTCTGTCTTGCTGTCTGAGTTATGCTGGTGTTTTATGGCCGTCTAGATTTATTAAGCATCTTGTTTTACATTCAGCCTGTGGTTTGTGCTGTAAATAAAAATAGGCCCGTCTTGCACATATTAGAAATTTGCAGGTAGCAAACGTCAATAAGTACCAGGGATGTAAGGTTCTTTGATTTATATTTCAGGCACCAGGTTGTGCTTTGTCGATTGAACCCATAGGCAGGACGCATCCCGGTGTCTTCTGTGTAGCAGATGGGTTTTTGCATCGTTGTCTGAGAAAGTTTATGGTTATTTCTGCATCCTTGGTTCAGTAGATTGCTTTTTAGACAATGAGGCATATCCGCTCTCCCCTTGTGTCTTATGAGTAATGACTACAGCTAGATATTATTATAAGAAGACCTGTTAAAAACTGAGTTCTTTCTTCCTTAATATTTAGGATTTTACGAATTATTCCTTAGATTTTCCATTTTCCTTCATTGTAGTTTCCATATACATTACATGTTTATTTGGGCACACACTCAGATATCCTCTTGGCGATATTTTTCTTCGCTCTAATAGATCGTCATCACTTAAAGCGTTTGTGTGGCATCTTCTGTCGAGTTCATTCAGAAATAATTAGTCCTCTTTGTGTGCCAGGCATTGTGGTAGGGGCTGCAGACTCACGGATGGATCACATACGATCTTTGCCATTGAAGACCTCAGCCCAGTAGGAAGATAGGCATGGGAACAAGCGATTATACTAACGCAGTGTAGGAAATGTTAAAATCCACTTGTGAATGTAGTTCCTGGGAGCAGATACCTGTTCTGATCACAGTGGTAAAATCAGCATCATCACGTTTTCTTGCCCGGTTATCAAAAGCAGACATGTGCAGTTTAATCACACCTCCAGACTCACATCCGAATGATTCCTAGCTGTTTGACAGAAATCTCATTTTTCCCTCACGGCAGGCTTGTTTACTGCCCCCTGGAGACAGTCAAAGGAAGGGTTTCTAAAAATGTTTTGATCAGTGACCATGTCTTTGGGTACGTATGGAGTTTCCCACCGAGACTGCTTTAAAGGGGATAGCGCCTATTTGATTGTTTATGTTCTAGCATTTATCCTGTAAATCAGTCTCGTTGCTTTAGAGTACCATTTATCTAGAGAGACAGTGGCCTGTACGTGGTTAAGAGATGGATTTTGGAGTCAGGCTGCCCTGTTTCCCCACCCCCGAGCTCTCCTATGTGCTTACTGTGTGATCTTGGGCAAGTCACCTGATCTCCTTGAGTCTCAATCTTCATCTGTAAAATGGGGATAATAATAGTTGTGAGGATTAAATGATTTGACATACGTGAAGTGTTGAGAATAGTGATGTGCATAGCTATGTGCTCTATAACTGTTACCATGGCTGTAGGTATTGAAATTATGTGCGATAATTGCTGTGTTACTTATATACATATTGGTATATTTCGTAGAATATTATTATTATGCCTGTTATATGTACAATATATCCAGTATGATCCCGATTTTATCTAAAATATATTTGACACATTTATGTAAGAAATATTTTAAACAAAACTTGGAATAATAATGTGCATCTTTTGTACTTTGCTCTTTATCGTGACCATGTTTTCCATGTCATTACAATTACACAGTATTTCATCATATGGATTTTTTCCTGCTATTATAAATTCTCCTTCGGTGACCATTATTGTACATAAATCTCTGTGCAAATCTCTGGTATTTTCCGTAGGATAAATTAAAAAAGGGCGAATTGTAAAGATTTGTAAAGATTTGTGGTTTACATCATCCAGTACCACCCAGAGTAGGGACACCAAGTTGCCAGTCTGAAAAGCAGAGCACGAGAATGCACATTTGGTACACCCTCTTCAACTCTGAGAATTGCCATGAAATATAAATATTTGCCTATGTAGAAGAGCTGAAGTTGGAGCTCATTGGAGAACAGATTTGTATTTCCTTACTTACTAAGTAGATGGTTGAATTCCTTTCTACCATGTTTATTGGCCATATATAGTTCTTTTGTGATTGATTTATTCGTATAGCCTTCCTTCATTTTGCTGATAATGTTTATCATTTCTTATTGATTTGTAAGAACATTTCATAGATTAGGGACATTATTATTTGTTAATCGTGGATCAGTGATGGAAATATTTTTCCTAGTTTATTTATTGCCTATCTTTTGCTTTTATATTTTTGTTATTCAAAAGTTTTTCTTTATGTACAGGGAAATTTTTCCCTCCTACCTATGAGATTAATGGTCAATGATATGTCCTTCTAGTTATTTTATGTTTTAATTTTTTTTCATATAATTCTCATAATGCATCTAGAATTTAGTTGGTGTATGATATGGAGTAATTGTCTGACTTTTTCTTCCCAAATGGTTAATAAGTTATCCCCACTGCATTTATCGACTAATATGAATGCTGAAATACTCAGATCTGCTTTTCTATTCTTTTTCTTTTGTCTGTTATTCTTGACATAACATTTTAATTATCAGAGTTTTATGATACCTTTCAGTATGTGGCAGTACAAGGCCCCATCATGTTTTTTTTTTCCAGAAGTTCCTTGGGTCTTGCTGAGGAGACAAAATTTTTTCCAGATAAACTTAAAAGCCACTTTTTCAAGGTCTCTTGTGTATCCCACTAATCCTTTGGTATTTTAATTGTTGTTATATTAAATCGATAACTTAATTTGGAAAGAACTGAAGTATTTATGGTAAATACTTTTTCTCATTCAACAATGTTATCACCACATTTAGGTACTATTTCTTACCTTTTGAGTTTATTCCTGGGTATTATACATATTCGATCACTATTTTTGGTTACTATTGCAAATGGGATATTTTTATATTGCATTTTTAGGTGTTACATGAGAAAACTTCTTTTGTGTGTGTTATTTTTGTAATTGGCCACAATACAGAATGCATCCTTATCATTCTAACACTTTTTGGTTGATTTTCTTGGGTTTTCTAAGTGTATACTGGATATGATAAGAATTTCTCACTTTTGGTAATTA